GGGGTAGAGGGGCACGGCGGAGAGGGAGGGGGCCGCCGGGCGGAGTTGTACGGCGGCCGGACCGGGTCCCTGAGGCTCCCGGGACTCACGCCCCCCACCCCGAGGGGCGATGAGACGATGGGGGGCTGGAGGGGGCCCGCGGCAGCGCTCGGGCGGGCGGACTACTTGACGTGTCGGTGCGGCGAATTTATTTCACTTTGCCTAAGGAACGGGGTGTGCTGCGGCACCCATTGCCTAGGGAAAAAACCCGGATGTAAAGTGAGTGAAACTAAACTAGAGTGAAGTAGGGCAGCAGCAGCCAAACTCCAGTGCAGCGGCGGCGGCGGTGATGGGGCTGAGCACGGAGCGGCGGCGGCCAAACTCCGGGGCCGCCGCAATGATGGGCCCGTGCAGCGCTGCAGCCCGGCTCCCGTGCAGCCGCAGCCGAGGCGAGGCCGGAGCCCGCTGCGGCCCCCCCAACTCCGCGACCCGAGCCCAACTCCCCCTCCCGCCGGCAGGAACTGCAAAGGGGCTCCGGAGTGGCCCCAACTCCCTCCAGTGCAACAGCAGTTTTCAGGGGGGGAAAGCCGCGAGGGCAGAAACGAGGAGAAGCAATGGGGAGGCACTGCAATGAGAGAGCGTGGTCCAGGCAACAGGAGAAAGATGCAACCTCAAGTCGAAATGCAACATGCAATCCCCGGCAGCCGCTCACCCGCTCCCTCCCCTCGCCACCCCGCCCCCTTTCCAAATAACTACCCTTGAACCACTTTATTAGCCGTACTTAGTCCTACACTCGCTATGGGGAGGGGGTGGGGGACAGGGTCCTTCGCTCACCTTTATTTATTGCTGCTTCCCCCCCCTCCATGTTTTTTATTCCTAAGTTCTTTTGTTCTAAGGGGGATGATGGCATTTACTTTTCTGCTTTGTGTAGCAGGGCAATCACTGGGAATCGGCCACGTATAATCCGGCGGTTTGTCATATTTTATTAGTGAAAGTATTTTATGCCTATTCTACCTCCGAAGGACTGTAACATGGAGAACTGCAGGGGGTGGGGGGAATCAGAAGAATTCTTGTTTTGAGAGGTTTCTTACGGGGCGGGGGAGGGCCTCTTTTTTCTTTTTTGGAGGGGGTTTATTTAGATTTTTAAATCGATAGTTTTCAACTTAAAGCTTAATATTTTTGTACGGGCTTAATGCTGGATTCTAAAATAACCCCCAACCACAATTAAAGAAGAAAGTCCAAAATCCTAGATTTTTAAAAAATCCCTTCTGGATGGTGATTGCTGTTCTGTGCTGCCCGCTGGACTTAACACAGTGTTGGCCTTCAAATGTTAAATAACAATAAACCCCAACCTCAACTGAATACAAATGGGGGTTGGGGGTGGTTTTGTTTTTAAGGCTCAGCACTTTTGTAGCATCTGCCACTACGCGTTTTCCAGGCATTGATTAACCATGCAACTCCCATAGGCATGAAGTCCAGTTTTTGCAGATAAAGAACAGTGGTGAGATATTTGCCCAGAGTCAAAGTGAATCATTGGCGACCCAGAAATAGCCTAGGATTTTATTTGCTACTCTTAACATCTTTTCCATTAAATAGTATTTCCTCCAAGAAATAAACTATTTAAAAATAAACACGTTATGCATTTTCACTAGAGGTGCTTTGAGATCATTGGATATGAAGGTATTTTCTTACTCCTGCAAAATTAAGTTTAGTTTCACAATAGAAAGCGATTTTTTTAAAATTCTGATTTCTTAAAGTTAAAAAACAAACAAACAATGGGCTTCATTTTACAAATGTAAGCTATTTAGTACTCTTTTAAGATTTAAAAAAAAAGAAAAAATTCACAACAGAGAAAGTGTTTTGAGTTTGACAGGGAAAAGGAAAATCCCTATAAATGATTCAAGACGCCTGAATGAACTCATAATGTTGGGAAACTAAACGTATAATACAGTCAAGATGAGTAACAGAAGGCCAGGTTGGATAGTAAGACCCAGCTTTACCATCTAGAGAGAAAGCCTATGTATTTACAAGATGAGGGAGGGGATCTTTCAAGCTGGACTGACTGGTCAATAGAACCATAACCTAAGTTTCAAATCTGCCTAGGCTGTCAAAATTCTTCCAGAGGGAGACTGCCTTAACGTTCTTCCTAGAAAAGAAGTTAAAATCTTTCAGAATTTCATAGAAAAGAAAAATGTAGAAGCTCACTTTGTGACAATGTGTAAATACTATGGAGCAGAGGTCAGCAAAGTTTCCATGAAGATCCAGACTTCATACAACCTCCATCAAAACGTCTCAGCTGTGCTGTTGTCTTGCAAAAGCAGTTGTGGACAATTTGTAAACAAATGAGTGTGACTCTATTCTAATAAAAGTTTACTTACTCGTCAGTGACATTTGAATTATGTGTAATTTTCACATTCACAAAATACTTTTGTTTATTGTTGTTATTTTTCAACCATTAGAAAGAAGATAAACTACTTTTGGATCCCTGGCTTCATGCCAATCCAGACAATGGGCTGGATTGGGCCCAGGGGCCGTATTTAATGGTCCTTCCTATAGAAAATTTAGCAGTTGACTAGCTGCTAAACTTCTTGGACAGAAGGATGCTTGATTATTTAGATGTTCTTGTAACAATTCTGGTGTGGCGCTGTGGGTTAATGCACTGGACTGCAAAGTCAATATGAACTGCAAGGTTGGTAGTTCAAGCTCACCAGCTGCTTCTTGGAAACCCTATGGAGGGCTGCTATGGGTCAAAACTGACTCTATGACATTTAACAACAGCATAGCAATTCTGATGTGGCGCTGTAGGATCAGTACTGGACTTAAAACAGAAGGCTGGCAGTTCAAACCCACCAGCTGTTCCTCAGGAACCCTATACAGGGTTGCTATGAGTAAGAATGGATTCGATGACACTCAGCAGCAACATAGCAATCAAAGTTCGTGTGACGGCTCTGTATGATAAGCCCTGGACTTAGAACCACAAGGTCAACCATTTGAGCCCACCAGCTCCTCCAAGAGAGAAAAATGGGACTATCTGCTCCTGCAAAGATTTCAAGCCTTGGAAACCCTATACAGGCACTTAACAACAACATAGCTATCAAAAATCAATTGTCATACAAAGTCGTTTTTGTAAATATTTACGCTTTAAAATATTTTAACATAATTGTGTTAACACTCCTATAACCACAAACTTTACGGAAAATGATACTCTATCGTGTGATTCATTGATAGGTTATGTTTTCATTTATACATTCTTCCTCAGTCTAAGGTAGAAAAGAGTGAAACCAGGCAATCTGGACTCTGATACTATTATTCCTTTTCAACTAAGGCACCCTCAGGTAAGTTATTTACCATCAGAGCCTTAGTTTCCCTGTCTTCTAAACTATATTTATAATACTTTCTTCCTAGGGCTGTTGAAAGGAGTTGAATGAAATAATACAAGTGAAGTCCTTAACACAAAAAATGTAGCACATAAGGCTACATTTTTTCTGAGTTGACAAATGTTCTGGAGATGGTGAACAAGTGGCATCCCAATATCTTGACAGTGCAGATGTATCTTATGGGGTTTGGAGTATAGTCTGTGGTTGGTTGAATGCCATGTGATCAATACTGAAAATGTTGCTGAGTCTTTCTCAGTCTCCGCTGGTGGTACGCATGGGTAGTGCACTTGGCTAGTAACCAAAATGTTGGAGGTTTCAATCCACTCAGAGGCACCTGGGGAGAAAGGTCTGGCAACTGACTAATGAAAAATTAGCTAGTGAAAACCTTGTAGAGCACAATTCTACTTTGACACTCATGGGGTCCTCATGTGTGGGCAGCTGGTTTGCTTCTTAGGCTCTAAGCATCTTTGTCTGCCTGTCATGGGGGCACTCTCTAGGTACATACCAGCTGTGTGGCCTTAGACAAGACACTTAGACTGTGTGAACCCATGTGTTTCTCATGTATAAAATAAAGATACAAACTTGTTGTGAGGGCAAGATGGCATAGGGGCTCTACATAAATAACTAGTAAAAGTCAGAATCCTGGTGTGGTGGTGTAAGATAAGCATTCAACCCACAGGGTCAGTTTGCCCTGCAGGGTCAGTGGTTCCAACTCACCGGTGGCTCCTTGGAAATCCTATGTAGGGTTGCTAAGAGTCAGAACCGACTCAATGGCTACTAAACAACAACAACAGTATAAGTTAGTGGGGAGCCTTGCGGTAAGCACTGGACTGCGGAACCACAAAGTCAGCAATTTGAGCCCACCAGGTGCTCCAGAGGAGAAAGATGACGCTTTCTGCTCCCTCAAAGATTTAAAGCCTTGGACACCCTATATAGGATCTGTATGAATGGGAACCAACTTGAAGGCACTTCACAACAACAACAACAACATAAGTTAGTAAGAATTCCAGAAATTTAAAGTTTACCATTAAAAGCTCCTCTGGAGTAAATCAGTTCAAAATATAACACATTGAGTTGGTCTAATAATAATAAAAAATACTCTCCTAACCACCAAGTTGGGAGCATAATGGTTCTATAGATAAGCACTGGATTGCAAACTACAAGGCCCACAGTTTGAGCCCACAAGCACATGGGAGAAAGATAAGGTTTTTTTACTCCCTTGATGAGTTAAAGCCTCAGAAATGCTATAAAGGTCTCTCTGAGTCAGAATTGATTCGACGGCACCTAACAAAAACCTGTTGAACAAAGGTAAAATCTTAAATTTTGGATGTTACTAAACATTAGATATGCAGTTATAAATTTTTATAAAAGTAATCAAATCTATTGGTTTTTATCTATACCTGCCTTTTGTTCCATGGTTTAAGGAGTCATCTAAACTCCAAGACTGGAAAAATACCCACTATTTTCTTCTTTGTGTGTGTGTGTGATTTCTCTTTTTCACATTTACCTTACTATTTTTACTTCCTTTTGATGTAGGATAAGAGGTAGGAGTCTAAATAACTTATTTGATAGATAATATTTAATTAACATCAGGACTGTGTTGGAAATTTGGAATAAAGGATTAATGTACTCA